AACCCCCCACCCACACACAACACCAAGCACCCCACAACAATGGCCGACACTGACCCGAAATCTTCAACAAACACCCCCACCCCAACGCCTAGTTACCCAAAGAAAAAAAAAGAAGAAAAACAATCGAAAAAAAAATCAACCCCCCCAAAAGAAACAACCACCGATACACCAAAAAACAAACAACCAACCAATATTGCAACCCCCCAACCGGTGTGGAACTACCCGGTGGGATCAGATAGAGCGTGGAAGGGTAAATGCGCCGTGAATAAGGCTGCCCTCCGGTAAAAGGTGATAAGGTAGTAGACAAGGAGAGTTCAAATACTCTCTGAAGATGTGGCGGACAATTTCTGACTAGCAAGGTGTGATAATATTTTCTAAGTACTTTACCTGAGGACTTTACCTGAGGACTATGACTAAGGACAATAACTAACTAAGTGACCAGGCTGAGCACGTCAGGGAACTGATGAGGGAACAAATGATGAGGGGAAAACATGGCTCCTTATATACAAAATCTGGGGAGTGGCCAGCTTGTGGTTTGAGAAAAGGATCAAGTGAAAAATATCAAACTGAAACACCACGGCCCAGAAGGTGGCTGCTAAGACCAAAGAGGACACAATGACATAGCCTGCTTTCCCAAAAGGGTGCGTAAGTCTGAGACGCGCATAGCCACATGCAGGCGCATGCATAGAGGTAAGAGACTAATCCCCAAGTGGGTGCATTAGTGTGAAACAGAAAGATAAGAGAAAGAGGAGTGCATATGCAGCAGCTCCAGGAAGAGAAAGAATGAAACAAGAGAAAACAAGGAGGGTTCCTAATACCCTGGCTCTGTCTGAGGGGTGACTTTGTTCCCCCCACGTGTGGTCTGGGTGCCTTGAGATTTCTGTCTTGAGGACCAAGGTGTTTGGGGCCTTCCTGTCCTGATTGTGCGGTGCATTGAGGCCTTGATGTTTTGATTTGGCTCACCACACCGGCCGATAAATGCATCATCGAGCTGTGGAGTGGAATGTTGGCCGATCGTTTTGGGGAGGTGGTTTGTGGTCGATCGTGTTGGGGAGGTTGGTTGGTTGGTCCAAGGGTGGAGGACTGCCAGTCCATCCATTCTCTCTACCGCCCAGGAGGGACACGGGGGGTGGAGCGTCTTTCTCCCCCTTCCGGGGGAACGCTCTTTTTGGTCGGGCCGGGAGAACCCGGCACCTGTTATCTCTCTTTCTAGTCATCTGACACTAGGCTAACAAGTGGAGCTCAGACCGCCTCTCCTCGGGGCGGGTCTGTGTAGCGCTCATGGCCTTTTTGGCTCCTCCGAGGGCTACCTTGCGGTTGCCTCTCAAAGGAGCCGTGTGAGGGTTGGGGGAAATGTTCCTTCTTTCCTCTCGTGTCGTTTTGGCGACAGCGGGAGGACAAGGGGAACACTCCCGAGCAGAGTGACGAGGAGAGGAAACGGACTAGGAGGGGGGATCGGTGCTAGCCCCATCCCTCTCGGACTGGGCCCCTCTCCTCTTCTTGTTGGGCGGGTGGGTGGTGCGAAAAAAGGATGGGATTCTCCCGGATGGCGGGGAGGAGACTAGGAATGATGGGCGAGTAGATTAGCCAAGGGATGCAGTTGCTGTAGGAACTGGTTTGAGGGCGATTGCCATCCAGCAAGGTTCCTGCTGCTCCGGCCAGGACAAAGGGTGAGACTGCGTACCCGCAGTGAAGTAGTTTCAGCCTACCGAGGGGTAAACCTACTTCTGCTTCGGCGGCTCTGCCGGCCAATCCCGGCCGTCGCGGCATAGCCAGCTGCCGCTCCATGGACGCCGGTGAACTCAGGGCTGCGCCCGGCCGTACACCTACCATTACTGGAACTGAGAGCATCTCCAACGGTCCTGCTGATGCGGGACCTGGGACCGACTTCAGCGGGCCGCGAGGCTCTTTTGGTCGCTAGTGGAGCTGCCGAGCGAGCTGCTGAACATCGCGGGGGTGGACCAAAGCTGCCCTCGGCTGCTGAGTTTGGCAGCTTTGGCCGCGTTTCACCCACCCCCGCTCAACTTCACAGTCCGCATTTAGGACAACTGTGACAAACCGGTGACACCTCGGGACATCTGACTCCAGGCCGCCAAAGGCAAGCCGATCCACCCCCAGACCGTTAGAGATGCTCTGACCCGCGACCTCTGTGACATGAGGTCGCGGCCTGCGGAACTCATGCGAGTTGCCCCCCGGACCGCTGGAGTTGCTCTAAACCCGAGGAGAAGGCCACCGGCCCCACCCCCACTCCCATCAATCCATTCCTTGCACCCAACACAAGATTTCTTATATATACTACCAATGGATAATGAAGAGACCAGCCAGCCAATCCACACTAAGCTTTTGTCCTCACACTAGATATTGCACCATTGATTGGCGTTTTGGAAATACAAGGGGTAACTTTTAATGTTGATGTATGTACAAACTTGTCCCGAAGCCATTTCCTATTTTGTTTTTGTATCAGTTGAGGATCAGATTATATAGGCTGAGACTTAATGACCGACAAGCTGTGGGATCCAGCATCAGAAAAGTGTAAGGGTTTAATCCCTTCACTTTAATCTTATGAATTTGAACCGGTGTCAGAGGCGCTGAGGGAGACTTTTTCTAGAACCAAAGGTTGTTTTTGTTATTCTAGCTCAGTAGTTATGATAATGGAATTGAAGTCTCTGCTGAGCTAGAAGGGGGGCGGGGCGGTGAGTGTTGAAATAGTTGATGAGTTGCTGATTACTTAATCTTCTTGTGAAACCTGTAGATTGGGGCTTCACAAAAAGCTCAAGCATATGAGATGAAAACTGATGGCAAGTCATCCAATGATTGTTTTTTTTTGATAATGACTTCATACTAGAGACTCTCTAGAGAGTATCAGAAAGTCAAACTGAGCGGGAATGACTCTACTCCTATCACCCAATCTTCGAGCGACAGAAACGAACAACAATCAAGTCCTGATATTCAAACTGAGCATTTGGTCTACCAAGTGACAGGCTTCAATTGCCAGAAGGTTTAGGCGGAATGAGTATCAAAAAAAAGCACAGAATTGAGCACCACAGCATCGATGGGACAGACAATGCTTTTGAGCTCTTGATATCAAAGGAGGCTTTCATGAATGTTTCTCAGTATCTGCATGCCATTGACCTTTCTCAAACGAGGATGTATCGCTACCATCCAAGATGATTAGATAATTATGGGTAGCTGGCGATAATGTGTAATGTGGTATTGTCAACATGTTTACAGTGGCTGCGCAGCTATATTCAGGTGGTTCATTCGGGGTTATACGCTAGAGTGAAACAGTGGGAGTGATTGTTTGGGGCGCGGACACATGCTCAGCTGATGGAGTCGACATTGTAATTAGAGTCGGAGCCAAGATTAACAATGCTTTGACAAAAAAAAGAAGAAAAAACATGTTTCAGTCGTAGTAAGACAGCGGGAGACAAGAAAAAGCATTATCAATGTTATTTTTTGTTCTTCTTCTTCCGTTGAGTTTGTTTTAATTTTTGAGAAGAAGGGGGATCAACTGAAGGAGGAAGAGCAGTGGAGACCGATCCTTGAGTGAGGAGTTTTTGTTTGGCCTTTTTATTCTTAACAGCCGCCCGATTGATGACTTTAGAATGATTACTATTTTCTTTTTCACGACGAGGGAGCCAACGGTCGGGGTCCGGCGGGGGTCTTGAAGGGTCGAGTGGCTTGACGGGTTTGATCTTGCGAGATTTGTCAGATCTTGGGTGACGAGGACGAGCAGAGGGTTGGGGAAAGTTCGGATGGGAATGGAAGAAGGAAGAGGTAATCGGTACATGCTCTAGTTGATCTACGTTTATCTTGCCGGTTTGACTAGGAATATGCTTCTCGACAAAGTCGATCCGCGCTTGACAGGCTGATAGATTCGCTGTCAGGTCCAGGTGTTCGGGATGGTCCTGGAGTATTCGCGATCCAGTCGATGACAGGAAACGTGGAGGTAAGCAGATGTTCTAGAACCCTTGAATCGTCTACAAATGATAACGAAGAAGTTGATACTCACCGGATCGGAGTCAACTAATAGCTCTTCTAGATGCGCCTTGGCTTCTTGAGTCCGTCCGAGCTTGAAGAGCTAAAGAGAGGTCTCCAATGAGTGATTCATATTTCCCTCTATCCCTGAAAAAAAAAGGCGCTGGACCAAGCTTACTATCTGTGACTCAAGGGCGAGTTTTGCACGATTGATATCTTCCTGGACGGTGATAAGTGGATTCGATAAAGCCTTATCGGCTTTCTCCAACTGGCCAAGTTTGTACAGACAGTAAGACTCTAACAACTTGAGGCCTGGACTTTCGACGGACTGAGTGAATATATATTCGAGAGTCTCCTGGTATTGCTCGAGAGCCGTAAGCAGCTTAGCCTTTGTCTCGATCAACGTATCATTTCCAGTGCCTTGCTTGTCCAGAACTAAGAAAAAAACAGAGTCGGATAAAAAGACTTAGAATCAATTACAGTAATCGTTTTTTAGAGTTACTCATATAAACCTTTCAAGAAGGAGAATGACGCATACGTTGATTGCAAGTCTTGATGGCATTCTGATAAAACCCTTTTTCGAGCTGTTGATAGAGTCTGAGACGGCGAGCTTGGATGATTTGTTCGGTCGTCTTTTTCCTCCTGGGCGCCGGCTTCGACTTGATCTTAGACCGTTTAGGCTGTGCAGTCCGACTGGTTTTCGGCGCCATCGAGAATCGGAGTTGGTTCAGGTTCGGTGGTGGTGGATTGAAATTTGAGAGTGGCTCCTGTCCGGTCGAGTGTGAATGAGTGTGCTATGTGTTTATGGGGGTGAACCGTGTCTGATTCCTAGTTTTGTTTTAGTTTAAATCCAGGCAGTAACCTCTGCCCGCTGCCAAGCTCTCTGCCCTCTGCCCGGTGCTCTTTATCTTGGCTTATCTTGCCCTCGGCCTGCTATGGTCACGGTACATACCCTTTCCTCTTGATCTTGCCCTCCTCACAGCTTCAGTACAAGATCTTCAACAACCACCAGCTCACTCCGGACTACAAAGCCGCCATGAAACTCGCTATCCTCTCAGCTTTCCCCACAACACTGCCTAGGCCAATACCAGGATTATTATACCATCCTTGACCGATTCTCGGAAGAAGCTACACAAATCTCGTTCTTAATCCGATCAGCTCCATCGATCATTGACATAAGATACTAGCCCCATTCACCCGGTTAAGCTCAACAGACTTCTACTAACTCAAAAGGTAACTCGCTGTTGGTTTCATTGATCTCCATTCGAGAGCCAAGTCAACTAAATGCTGATCGAGTCCCTGTTTTTATCATTCTTTCCTACCTCGAACCTCCACTTGACCCTCTTTACTCTCCGAACATCCTGATCGACGTGTCAACGATCATATCTACATTCTCAAACTAGTGATCATGGCCCCGAAAACCAGCACGATGGCTATCCACATGACCGTCAAAGATGCGCCGTTCAGGTACAAGGAGATCTTCTTCTGGACGGCCTACGATGTGTTTGAATACGTGTTAGAAGAATACGGAAATTACATACGCGAGGGACAGATGACCGAAGAGGGCGTGACCGCGGTAGCCATCCACGAGGCCTTATACTCCAGATGCCGTTACCTGGCCTCGATGAGGAACGACGTCAATGGCGACCCGTACGTGGTCTGGGGCGACCAAGAAGCCCCAGACCTCTCCAATATCCCCGACTCCAGGGCTAAAGAATTGTTGGAAAAACATTGGCATCAGTTCGTCGTCACCGCCGCAACAGCCTGTGCTAGAGAATCCAAACGCCACTCCGACTTGTAGTCCTACTCGACGCCCTTCGGTCTCACTCCGTAACCTATTTATAGGTGATGTTTATAATTTGTGGTTAAAAATAAACAAAGAAGAAGAAGATCCCATGAATAGGTACAAACAAGAAGAACAATTGTCATATAAACATGATTGTTAAAGCGCTTTGATTATGAAACATTCTAATATATTATATTCAGACAAATGATTTGGTAACTTTCAAAAAAAAAGTAAACTAACTCTGTTGTTGTCAAAATCATGTGACCTCTGCTAAATCCTCCTCCTGATCACAGCCAATCCAATGTATCGCTTTGTAAAACCATGCTTCTTCCTGCTATATGTGTAAACCTCTTATACAAAGAAACTTGTAGTTTTGTACTCCAATACTGGCTGTTTTCTGTTGGCTCTGTGGTTAGTGATTCTCCTGTGGTATTATCAGTCCATATATATCGGTATACAATTACAATAATTACATGAAAAGCTGGAGTGGAGTGAGTTTTTCCACTGTCAAGTCAAGTATTAGACTAATCAGATCTAAGCCTTGATCATGGTGAGTTGTTCTTGAATTGTTTTTATTCTGCTTATCCTCCAATGATGAATTTTGAGAAGCCATGGTTAACTCCCCAATTACGTTTACAACCAGTACCATGAAGTTTGAATTTGATGATGCAGTAATGTATCAGTGGTCCCAATCCATTCCCAATTGGAGGCTCAAATCGGTCCATCTTGAAAGAATCCAAATCACCTTGAGTGAGTGAGGTGATAAGGAATCAGGTCACAAAGGCAAGGGAGGCCAAAAGCTTTGTTTTTTTGGCCTCTAATAACCAGACACCCATTATGTGAGGAAAGGACTTGGGAGTGAAGCCCGTTTTCAAGAACGTTCCCATCAACAACAGCTGGAAAGAAAAACAGAGGTAGCTACATATTACAATGTACGGTACCATAACTTGAGCCATCCAAGGATTTTGATGCATGTCACACATTGTTATCACCAGCAAACAAAAACAAAAACTTTTCTCCTGGGGTTTGATCACTTGAAAAAGTCAAGGTAAGAAATACTGTTATCTTTTTTTGACCAATATGTATGTAGCTGAACGCATCCCCAGTCTGTCCAGCAAGAATCGGGATCTCCTTTTGAAGGCAGACTGTTCATGTGCTCGTGTTGGATACTTGAGTAGAAGACCAGTACTAGCAGCGTTACAGCTTTCGTCACTCTATGATCATGTACTCCTCCGATTCTTCTACCACTCAAATCAATCGTCAACGATCCTTCGATTCTCACTTTGTGTGTTTATTTTTTCTATCATGCTTTTTTTGGTCTTGATGATTGTGCCTTGTGTGAGGGTTTTTGTTTTTTTTGATGACGAGTCGAGTCACAAAAGAGAGCTGAGCTGTGTGGGGTGGCCCGTGGGTGTTTCAGATGTCCGGGCCATACATACGAATACTGATACATAGGGAGGAGATGATCATCAAGAAGCCGTTCATGACAATCTGCAAACCATGGGGATATGTATAACTCGTTGTTGTAGCTGCCAGCTTCCGACGCGCGCGTCTGAAGTCGGCTTGATTCTGGTTGGTCAGATCTTTCTCGAGGTAGAATGTGTATTATGTAACACGTGTTTTCGTGTTTTGGCGTTCGAGTGGAGTGGCGGTTGGTCGGAGGTTTGCACCGATCATGTTAACTCTCTCCACAGTTTGTGTTTTCTTCATGTCATATATTTATGATAAAGATGTTTGGCAGTTTGAAGTGCTATGGCAAACCGGTATGACCACTTCTCCTCCATATGAAGGTTGAATAGTCATGTTTTTTTTTGTTTGATTCGGATTGGTTTGATTGCATCTTAAAGATCTTTGTCAGAATGGATGACTATGTTATACTGTACGCGTTGGATCTGGTTGTTGGAGGACTCTTTTGGAGACTGAGGCTTGAGCGACTGGTTGTATGTATGTATCGAAGCCACTTGGAGAGGACGCGTCGGACTGAAAGGAAGGAGTGTCCTTATGGACAGGATGATCCTGACACGCTTTTCAGACTGAAGTTGGATGTATTCGATCGTGTTTGCGCGGGATGAGTTTATGTGTTTATGGGGGTGTGTGGGCTGTTATGTCCAGTACGATCTACACTTTTTTTTGGGTGTTGATGAGTTTAGTCTGGTTTTTGTGTGGGTTTTAATCCTGCCCTTTACTCCTCATGACTCTCACTCGACTTCCTCCTCCCTCAGCCCCCCCCTCCTCCTCCTCCTCCTCCTTCCCCCCTCTGCCTCTGCTGCTCGTCTTGAGTCACTCCGGCCCTCAACCAAAGTACACAATACTCCCACTACATCCCTCCCAGGAAACAAACCAACACACACCCCTCAACTCGAACAGCCCAACAACAACACCCCCCATCCATCCATACCATAACAAACTCGATCTCTGAAAGCTCAGACTCAAACAAACAAAATACAACTAATACATATCATCCTCGACCGACTGCCAACCGTTCAGAAGTTCAACTACAGCCTAATCGATCCGATCATCATCATCGCCATCAAGTCCTAGCTCCCACAAGGTAACCAACCAATCACAACTAGCTGTCCTTTTCCTTTTAATAATATCTCTCTGTGTTGGCTATCTGACGGCCAACCCACCAATCAACCGAGCGCTGACTCCCATCTTCATTCATTCATTCCTATATCATCCGACCCCGACCAAACACATCTTGATCCTTCCTCTTCCACAACACACTTTCAAACCCAACTTGGCACTCTCAGGGCCTGCTGCTTGGCTTAGACTTCCTGATCGACGCGTCAATCCCCCAACTTACGTTCTCCTCACTATTACGTACCCTTCCTCTCTGGGCTTGGTCTTGTCCAGTAAGCTATCTGCCTTATCTCTCTTGATCTCTCTCTCTCTTAGCGATTAAATCCTCAATCATACCTTCAACTCTCCTGTCCTCCCCCCCTTCCCATCTACTTCTTGAAACTTTTTCCAGCGTTCCGTTAATAATCATATTCTCATAATACTGCCCCTTCCTTCTCATCTTCCTTATATTTTAGTTTCCTCATCAGAACAAAAACTGCTTCCTCTTTTTTTCTTGTTTCTCTCTATCTCTTAGCTTGTTAGTATCTAGTATCATCTCCAACACACCAAACAGAATCACCCTTGAACTGATCTTGTTAACCTTTTTTTTCGGTTATCAGACACGACTTGACCTCACGTTCTATCCCTAGTCACTTGCGTTCTTTGGTCGACTCGTCCTCCTCTTCGCATTTGACAACGCGCGTTAATCGTGGTGTTGGACTTTGGTCTTTAATCTACTGACGCGCTTCGGTTCCAGTAATCTGCTTGCAAACATCAATGGCTGTGAGTACACGTTCTATCTATGTTTTTGGCTGCTCTTGACATCCACTAACAAGCCCTTCTTGGACTACAGCCTCCCACCAGACATTCCTCTCGATTAGGCGGTATTGCCATGGCTACTGCCGGCAAGGAAGATGAGAACGCCGGCGCAAACTTGATTGGTCGTCAGCCTGCCGGCAAAGTTCTCAGAGGACGTAAAGATCTCGCGTCAACGGCCACAAATGGTTCAACCAAAGTTAGTTCTCTGGAAGTTTTGTCTTACCACATAAGTCACCCTCAATCTGACGCGTATGATGCTTCCTTAGGCTATCTCTATTTCAAAAGCTTCCGGCGTATCCACAACCAATACCCGCAAGAGGATTTTGGATGACCGGACCAACAACGTGAAAACCGCAGCTTCAGTCGCGAACGCCAATGCCAAACCCACCACTAAAGCTGCACCTCTGACGCGCAAGACTTCCAATGCGGCCACCAAAAAGCCGATGATGGTTCTTGACGAACTCAAGCCGACTGAGGCCCTACCCAAGCGGACAATCAAGCCTATAAAAAAGGAAGCATCCACTCGTCCCATGACACGCAAGGCATCCGGGGCGGAAGCTCAGTCAAACACCAACTTTGACGAGGCCGCTGGCCCATCCGGACAAGCCAAGGCTCCCGCTGGATCCAAAGCTAGCACAGGTACAGGCGCTCTCCGACGCAACGCCTTGCGCTTACACAAAGCCACCGGATCCACCTCGACCGACAACGGCCTCCTGGAACCTTATGATGCCGGTCATGTGGCTAAGAAAGTTCGGACGAGCGAGCCCGACGAAATCTTGAAGGAGAACTGCGCCGAGCAAAACGTCATCAAGGAGAAGCCGTCGAAGAAGGAGCTTACTAGGGTCGCCAAGGCCCAGCTTGCTAAGATCCAGCAGAAAGTCGCAGAGCGGGACTGGGAAGACCTTGATGAGGGCGATGAAGAAGATCCCTTGATGGTTACTGAATACGTGGTGGAAATCTATAATTACATGAAAGAAGTTGAGGTAAGTACCGGTTGGACTTGCTTGCACGTCAGATTTGGTATTGATTTGGACTTTTTGTTTTTTTAAGATGGAAACACTTCCTGATTCGAACTATATGGTCCGACAAGTCGAGTTGACCTGGAAGATGCGTGGGGTATTGGTAGACTGGATCATCGAAGTGCATTCGAAGTTCCGACTGCTCCCGGAGACGTTATATCTGGCGATCAATCTGATGGATCGATTCCTCACCAAACGTTCGGTGGCCTTGATCAAGTTCCAATTGGTCGGCGTCACTGCGCTCTTCCTGGCCTCTAAATACGAGGAAGTCATCTGTCCTAGTGTCACTAATTTCCTCTACATGACCGACGGCGGTTACGATTGCGACGAGATCCTTAAGGCTGAAACTTACATGCTCGAAATGCTTGAGTGGGACCTGCGTTACCCTAACCCGCTTAACTTCTTGCGTCGGGTCTCCAAGGCTGATAACTACGATATCCAGAGCCGGACGTTTGCGAAGGTTAGTTTAAAACCTTTGATGTTGTCAAGAAACAAAACAAATCAATAGCTGCTTACCATGGGAGTTCTTTCTTTGGTATGTAGTACTTTATGGAGATTTCGATTGTCGATTACAGACTAGTAGCCACCGCGCCTTCGCTTCTAGCGGCCGCATCGATCTGGCTAGCTAGGAAACTGCTCGGCCGGGGCGGCTGGGACGCCAATCTACGCCACTACTCCGGGTACGACCAGCCCGAAATCCTTCCCATCGCCCAGTTCATGCTCGATTATATCCTCAGATCCGGCTGCAAGAATCTCGGGATGGGCCTCGATCCTGGGTTCGTTATTCAGGCTTCCTACGAAGGTGGCAATGAACATAATAATTTGTTTAAGAAATACGCTACTCGTAAAGTGAGTTTTTTTCTTCCAACTCCATGGGGCCGAAGCATATAACCACGATTTCTGATGGTAGTGAAATATAGTTTTTCCGAGTCAGTGAGATTGTCCGGGACTGGGCGGTGGACCGCTACACGTTCGAGACCCCGACAGGATACGAATGGGACAAGCTCGAGGAATGGAGCTCGAAGATTGCGGCCAGCAAGAAGCGCTCCAACACTGCGGGCTCCCAGCGCATCGCCCGCCAAGTCCAGGAGTTCTTCGCTAATGAGCAGCTCGACGACGATGAGGAGGAGGAGGACGAGGAGGATGATGAGGATGGGCTCGAGGTCGATCAGGCCGACGGTGATGATGACGAGATCGACGATGACGAGTATTGACCGTCTCCGCCCTCATCTTCTTTCTTAATGCTTCCTCCGGCCTCTTTTCATCATCTCTTCTTAACAACAACAACCTCTTTATCACATATCCTCATTCCCCCTCCCCCCCTCTCACTTGTTCCTGATACATTTCCTTCTTTATTTTTAGTGAGAAGCTTTCTCGGCTCACTCCGGCCTTCTATATTCTTCTCTTTTTCCTTTTTTTTGTGTTTTGGTTTTGCTCTCTTGTCTTCCAGTCCACCTCCATTTCCTTTATCCTTATACACATCTCCTTCCCCCCTTTCCCCCCACCCATCCATCACCATCACCACCACTGAGAAACCAAAAAAAAAAACAATTCTTTTCTTAACAATTAACAACATAACACAAAACCTGGGGACATCCTCTCCTCTCCTTTTTCTTTTTTAAAGTCACTTTTTTTGTTTGGTTATTGGTTATCGGTTATGTTTCTTTATGATGTTGTGTGGGCTCTTTTATATTCCTTATATATAAACATAAATATATGTGACATGTGTGTGTGTCTCTCTTGTCCAAGTGTGGGTCTTCCTTTATAATGACAAAGCGTAGTTTGTAGAGCGAAAGAATGAGAGAGGACATACTTTCTATATAGATCTAATTTATATATGACTGGTCTTGACTTGACAAGTGAGGTGCTGTCTGAACAGTTCTTGCTCTGTGTTCTCCCCCTCCTTCCTTCCCTTTTTTTTTCTTGGTGTTTTCTTTTTCTGCGTCTGAGTCATGTATACCTCATGATCTTACTTCTTCCCTTGTGCCACTTTACCTTGCAGTCTCTCTGACACATCCCTTCCCCCCCCTCCTTGATGAACAAATAAAAAAAAAACTTCTCTTCTCCAGCCCTGCTCCTCCTCTTTTTTTTTTCTTGCTTCCTCATACTTTGTATGAACCTCTCCTCCACCTCTTGTTTCCTTTTCTTGGTCTTTTCTTTGCTTTTGTGTGGTGTTTTTGGTGCAGTAATAATCCACACATATCCTCCAGTCTTATATCCCTATTTTTATTTTGTTGGTCCAGATCATGAGAGCAGAAGGCAGATAATGTTTTTTGTTTTGTTTAACAAAATGGTGGTTTTGATATGTGCTTGTAGAGGCGGTTTCTTGGGGATCAACTTAGGTGTAGTTGATATCTGTTGCACAGTCTCAATGCCAAGAGGAATCCCTCTGGGCCTTGCCAATGCAAAACCGTACAGTCTCCATTGCCAGTGGAATACCTCCTGGGCCATCAAGACTTGTACAAATCTTGAGGCTGGGATGAATCCCTCTTTGCCTCAAGAATTGACAGTCTTGACACCCAAGGAGGATTCCTTGCGGCTTCAAGACCACAAAGGCTCCAATTGCTCTGAGGTCCAGGCTTCTAGGCCAAGTCTCAATGGCAGGAGGAATCCCTCCCAGCCCTTCAAAAAAGCAAAAAAAACTGGGGTTTTGGGTGGAAAATCTGGTGTTGCAAAAAAACTGCTCAAACCAGGTGTCCCCATGGAAACTCTGGATATGTTGATTAATGCCCAGTATTTGAGAAAGACTTCAAACATTGATGTGATTCATATGTAGATCTAAAGCCCCCCCCAGTAAGTGGGGCCCCTCTCCCTTAATATGTAGGACCCCAGAGAGCCCCTACCAAGCCACCTAATGTAAAACCCGCAAAATCCGGGTTTTTGCTACCCAGGAATATCTGGTTTTGGGGGGCAGATGCATTTTTTTGCTACCTCCAACATCAGGGCCCCTTTTTGTTTTTTTTTGAAAGGTTTTTCAATAAATTTTCCTATCATGCATAAATTTCAGTTTTTTTTTTTTTTTTTTTTTTTTTCATCCTTGTGAAAAAAATCTCTAATCATTTCATGCATATAAACTTCAACTGGTGGACAAATTGCTACCACATACAGAAGGATCATGTGCTGCTGCTGGTTTTTTGTTTTTGCTACCTTTTTGTGGATTTACATTAGGGACATTTTGGAAAGAAAATCTGTTTGGGTACATTTTACATTGGCCAGCTTGGTTGGGGCTTTCCGGGGTCCTATGTTACCCTGTCTAGGACTGGAAGGAAAGCAGTGAATGTAATGTATTTACAGATGATCAAAACAGTGTCTTTGGAGTACAGTCCTATTCAGATTAGTACATCCAAGCAGCTTTATTGAGGCTGGCTCTATTTTATCAGAAATGGTGATACTGAGGTTGTCCTCTTCTTGACCATCCATCATTGTTAGCCTTGTTCATGTTTCATGGATTGGGTATGCTGATTGCTACCTCAAAAATAGGCAGTGCAAGCCCACAGGTATCCCTCCTGACTCGTCAGGAACCTTGTTGGACAAGAAGAATTTTCTCTTGGTAGGCCAGGTATCAACCTACAGGAGATTCTTGCAGAATAATAGTTGTTTTTCAAAAGCAACCCACCCAACTTTGATGGCAGCATTCAATGGGGAATCATTTGGATAGTTAATGGGAACAGAGGGACAAGTGGGTAAGGTGTACTGTATAGTAGCAGTTCAAATTCCATTGAGCATCGCTGTATATCCTGAGTTCCAATAAATCATTTTTCTGTGTTCATCTTGGTTTTGACTGTCTTCTTTACCTGAATCTCGTTCCAATATGTTGGGAGATCGATTAGCTCAATAAGGCTGGAATCGATTGGCAGCAGCAAGATGGTCAGCGGGAGGTTGTTCGGGGGAATTATCGTGACTCAGAAGGGCATCCAGTAGATGATGGTCGTCCTTGTCGGCTTGGTCCTCGATCCTGGGCAATGAGGTTGGATGGAGAGAAGCGCAGTAGGACATGGCGCGGAACATCTCTTGTACCAAGGCTGACCGGTCTCCTTCCTCAGGAGTGATTGTTAGGACAATCGGCTCCTCTGACTCCTCCTCCCCCTCCTGTTGTTCATTCGCTTCCGATCTCATCCGCTCGCCTCCGATCATCTCTTCTAGGTCTAGCTGGCAGTACAGTTGTGCGTCATTGCCCTCCACCTGAGATCCCATGTAAACTGATGTCTGTATGGGATGATGATCGATCGTCTCGCTCTTTGATAGAACTCACTCTCTACCACAGTATAGTTAGCATGAATCTCTGGCTGAAAGAAAGAAGAGAGAAAGACATTGGCGCACCTTTCAGTTAAGATTATACTAGAACAAATGAGATCAGACCATCCGGTGAGTAAACTAATAGATTCGACGAATTTAGGATGCCGGTTTTGACAGCTTGCGGGCGCAGGAAGGTTTTCGAATCGGGGACGGACAGAGTCGAGCTTGAGCTTGAGTACCGGAACCAACAAGTCGAAGGAAGCCGGCGTGAAGCTGTGAAAGATCTCCTCGTCCTCGATCTGCTCTTGCCCGTCCACTCCTTGACCGCTCGTCCTGGAAGTCCGTGACGAAGCCGTGGCTCGGAACTTTGCTTGAGCTTCGATCTCCCTAATCATCATCATCTCGTTCGACTCATTCAGCGTCCCGTCTGTCATCTCACTTCGGCCCCAAACTTGCAGTGGTATGTATGTTGAGGGCGAGAACAGTTGGCCGCAATCCAGCAGGTATGTACATGGAATTTTGGCGCAGCGCGCAAGGCGGCCCACTGCGGCGGCGCGATCAGCCGCTGCTATGTATGCATAGCACAGCACAGCACAGCACAGCATAGAAAAAGAAGTGTGAGCTTCGCCTGTACATATGAACTGACCAGCGACCACTCACCAGTCCATTGATCAAGTGAGTGAGCTTCTGTGCAACAGAAATCACGATTCTAATATGGAATGCTCTAGTTACCAGCTCAACCTTCTGTAGGACCGATACCGAGTTGTGCTGCGCCAATCCGTGACTTGGATCTGCTCCTCGGCAATATCATTGTTGATAACAATCGGCCAGGCTGAGTGGTTAGTTTCATTTCTTCAATCTGAAGCCCCATGTGCGTACAGGATCTGATCGCACCCTTTCGTGTGGATGTTTTCCAGATTGTTATCATGGAGTCAACCCCCCACCAACAAACTAGTTCGAAACGTCCACGGTCGCCGTCGAGCTCTGAAAATGTTGGCGATATGCTTAATAGTATGATGAGAACAGGGAAGCTTTCCTTAGCGCAAGTCAAAGAAATTTCAGACGAGCTTCGTAAGTCGAGCTCCAGATACCCTCCACTTTGTCCCGAGCAGCTGATTATTTGCTCTCTTGAGCCCTATCACTACCAGTTGCCTCACATGTGGAAGAGACACCGATCCCCCCCATCGCTAGACCAAACGAAACCGCAATCCAACGACAAATTATAGAGAAAGGTTACTCAGAGGACTACCAGAACACCGACGAAATTGTCAAACCGATCCTCGAGACTCTTGACCGTCTATCGAATGACTGGTCAATCGAGTATCTGGCACCCTATACATCGTTGATCGGACCCTCAATGATAGGGAAAACTCGACTGATTATGGAATTAGCAAAGCATGTCTGCGTTATATACATATGCCTTCGTCCGGTGGGTTCGACTGGATATCCCCCACGATCTGCCCTTGCTGGTCCCATCCTAGTCGATAAAGTTGACTACATCACCCTCTCGACCGCTATCTTCGAAGTGGCTGCCGAATTTTTCAACAAACAAGGCAGCATCAATGCATCCAAGGAGGACCGCTTGAAAGAATGGAATCGGTATTGCAAGCCACCGGCAGAAAAATTTTCGACAGATGTTTGCGCCAAAATGCAAACGCTCCCCCTCCCTAAAGAAGACGAGATCGTTACACTTAAGGAGCCAGTCCACAAACTTCAACAAGCCACACAATTCATCGGAAGATCAGGCCTGACAGTTTTATTAGCCATCGATGAGGCCAGAGAGTTACTCGTCGATGAAACGACGTCTCGAGTTTCCCGCTTTCGCCTATGGCGTCGAGCTTTAGCCACCGTCCCATACTCCAGCGGTTTCTTTGCCCTAGTAGCTGATACAACCTCGCAAGTTTCCAACTTCAGTGCGTCTGTGAGAAACGACTCTAGCGCAAGGCCTAGGCCCGGGGAGGACTTGCTTTTTGCGCCAATATATAACTTAGCAACCATGGACTTGATGTGTACCAATCACTCTCCTGCCACTTGGGAAGATCTACTAGCCAAAGACCGCCTTTTCAGTTATGGCTGTCCATTTTTCGGCATGTATATTCGATGCGCAAAATCGGCTTATGATCCAGACCGGGTCGTAGAAGAACTCATCGCGATTTCCGAGGCCAAGCTGCTCTGCAGAAGTAAAACAGAACCCGGTGCCAACGAGCTATCGGAAAGCCGAATATTTGCATTGCTGGGCTCTACAATACAACCGCAGATATATATGGCATCAAGGCTGAATTCCGACCTTGTCTCCAGTCACGCAGCACACTGTTTGTACATAGACCAGGCTCGCGAGAGAATCGTTGCCGATTATCCATCACAGTTTGCTTTCTCCACGGCGGCAAACGGGTTTATAGCATCGGATGATGCAAGACTGATTGCTTGTATCGAACATCTCGCCTCTGTCTTGCGGCAAGGACTTATTTCCTCAGGCGATGCCGGAGAACTCGCTAGCCGAATTATATTGTTGCGAGCCATGCAACAAACCATGCAAAAAGTCGTCCCTCGTCCTAAGAAGGCCCCAATCAATTACTTACACTCAGTTCCACTGGTGGACTTTCTGACAACACTGACTGGGTTGGAAAAAGATGAATTAGAGTTGGGTTCCATCAGTGAAACAAACAAAGACAGACTATTAGACGAGGGCCACATATTTTGGAACCACTTTATAAACATCAAATACACCCCGGGGTCGTACGATTTTTTGCAATTTCTCCACCGAGGCTTAGCCGTTCAGTGTAAACCCATGCAGAGGGGCTTCGACCAGCTCTTCTCAATTTACCTCAAACAAGGAAACAACCCCAAGCTAAAGGAAGACGATGTTACTTTCTGTGGAGTTCAAGTTAAGAATGCGATCTCTAAAGCCAATCTGAAGAAGCAAAGCCCTAAGTGGACAACCAAGTCTGCAAAAATTGGCCTTTCAAAACCAAACCCGTACCTTGTAATCCTCCTTGATTTCAGTGGTAAGATCCAGGAACACGACCTACCTGATTGCGGTGATGAATCACAACGACGAGGAACACTATTACTATTTGGCTTGAATAAAGTTGGCTGCCTCACCCCGGAAATCAACAAGGCCTTGGAAAAGTTGATATCCATCAATCCTGATGTCTCAATGTTTAGTAGAGATCCTCAATTACCAAAATATGTTAAATCTGTTCTTCCTTGTACTTATCCAGTCCAACAATCAGCAACTGGTAGCAACGATTCCTCCCTTACTTCTTTGTCTGACCAGTCTGACCAGCCTGACTCGTCTGAAGAAAGTGAATAAGTCCTAAATTATTGGTCGTCCTGCCATTCTGAAGAACAAAAGTGTCATTGTGATCTAACTGTATTGAATTTCAAAAAAAGCCAAATTTATGGGTTGGAATGAGAAAGTAAAAAATGAGATAATCATTGGTATGCTAGGAGTCTTGAATGCAATGATCACTTACCAAAGATAATAATTCAGCCCCCATATCATGGCAAGAAAATTCAAACTTAAAAGGTAAAATATTTTTCCCGCAAATGGGCAGTCAATATCTGACTCCCCTCCCTTCCACACCTGCCCAGCAGCTCCCAACCTCCCTCCTCAGCAAACAGATGACCAAACAACTGAACCTGTAGCAAATGCTACCAGTGGCCCCAGGCACAGCCCCTCCCCTCCCAGAACACCAAAAACAGCTTC